TATAAAACTACCCCTCTTCCAACACACACCAAATAAAATTTTTAAAAGCATCAGATTTGATTTCAATATGGTAATTTTCCTATTACTGTCTCCCCTTCTCTGCCTCTCAGATTTCGCACCTGCGCACTTGCACCACTTCACTCCAGTCTTCAGGAGTGAGATCTGAGAGGCAGGGGAGGAGGTACGGTAATAGGATACAAGGGCGGGCCAGACAGGTAAAAGAGGTGTGTTTTTCTGGGCCCAGAGCCACTCTATCTCTTTTTTCCATACCCCGGGTGCCCCGGATGCCTGCAGCTTGCTCCGCCCTTCACTTACACCTTCCCATTGAGGTGCCCCTTCACCTCACCATTGGGACTGCATTAAGTCCACAAATCCTGATGAAAGGATTTTCTTCTACCGTACTTGTACAGCATTGCCCTTAATGCTTTCATACAGTCGCTGCATACGGCAGGGACGCGACCACTGCCATTTTTGAGCTCCCCCCAAAATATGCAGCAACTACAGATTCTCCAATCTGGATTGGAAGTTTCAGCACCCGTTCTATAAGATAACTCCCGGCATATAAGACTACTCCTGCATATAAGATGACTCCCATGCATAAGGCTACTCCAGCATATAAGATGACTCCCGTGTACAAGACGACTCCCACGTATAAGACAACTTTTGAGAAGATTTTCTTGGGTTAAAAAGTAGTCTTATACACCAGAATATACGGTACTTAAGGTGCAATCAGTTATTACTCTCGGGCTTTTTAGGAAGAGTATGAATTTGGTCTTTCAAATTATGGTCTCCCTTACCAAGGATTTCCTAGGCTTCCTTCTTAGAACAGTCTTATGGGAGATCCAACCTTCACTTCACTTTATTTCTTAATTAGTCGCTCTCCACCAAGGTGCTCCGAGCGACTTACAATCTAAATAGCATTTACACAATATAGAAAACATTCAACATAAAAAATACAACAGTGACTATTTGGCAAATTAGATCTGATCACTTTACTTAAATGCACAACCAAACAGCATGTCTTGAGTGCCTTTACAAAAGGTCGCAACTCCGACATGACTCTAATGTATGGAGGCAAAGAGTTCCACAGAATTGGCGCATAGGTTGAAAAAGTTCTACTATGCCTTGTAGCTTCCAGGTGTACCTCCCTCCCTAGGGCCCGGGTATGTATAGGAGATTTTCCTGGGTGGATCGAGGTGACCACTGATGGAGAAAAGGAATGAGGCGGTCCCTAAGATATAAAGGTCCTTGGCCATTTTGAGCTCTAAATGTCAGGATCAGTATCTTGTAAGAGATCTGATGTTCTATTGGTAGCCAATGCAGTTGTTGCAGAATCGGTGTAATATGGGATCTTAGAGATGATCCCGCTAGCAGCCTGGCCGCTGCATTTTGGACCATCCGAATCTTCTGGGTTGTTGACTTCGGAAGGCCAGCATATAAGGCATTGCAATAGTCCAACCTCGTGGTGACTGTTGCGTGGATTACTGTTGCCAATGCTTCTACCGAAAGGTCGGATGCCAATTTCCTTGCCTGGCGAAGATGAAAAAAGGCCTGCTTACTTATGGCAGTGATCTGGGCCTCCATCATCAGCGATGAGTCCAACACAACCCCAAGGCTTTTAACAGTGGCAGACGGAACCAGAGCTTCCCCATCGAAATCAGGCAGAGACTGGATTAATTCTGGCGGCTGGCCGGGCCAGAGGATCTCAGTTTTAGCAGGATTCACTTTGAGTCTGCTCGCTCGCAGCCAACTCATCACTGCTTCCAAACACAGCCTAAAGTTCTCAGGAATCGCGGTTGTCCCAGGTTCGAGACGCAAGAGTAGCTGGGTATCATCTGCATACTGGTAGCACTCTAGGCCAAAGCTCCGCACCAGTCCAGCAAGTGGCCGGACGTAGATGTTAAATAACAGGGGCGAGAGGAGAGCACCCTGGGGAACTCACTCCACAGCAAAGGCAGGAGCTCTCAGAGCTTTGGCTTCACCACTCCACCCTCTGTCTCCGGTCCCGGAGGAACGAATTGAACCATTTCAGGGCTAAACCTCGTACACCAGACAGAGCCAATCGATGAATCAGCAAGTCATGGTCCACGGTGTCGAATGCAGCTGTGAGGTCCAAGAGTACCAATAGCGCTGATCCGCCTTGGTCTAACTGACGACGAATTTCATCAGTAATAGCGACCAAGACAGTCTCTGTCCCATGACCTGAGCGAAAGCCTGATTGGAAGGGGTCCAAACCTAACAACAAATCCCATATAGCAGTGTTTCTCAACCTTCCTAATGCCGCGACCCTTAATACAGTTCCTCATGTTGTGGTGACCCCCAACCATAACATTATTTTGCTACTTCATAACTGTAATTTTGCTCCTGTTATGAATTGTAATGCAATTATCTGATAAGCAGGATGTATTTTCATTCACTGGACCAAATTTGGCACAAAGATCAGATATGCTCAAATCTGAATAGTGGTGGGGTTGGTTGGGGGGGGGGGGGAGAGATTGATTAATTTTGTCATTTGGGAGTTGTAGTTGCTGGGATTTATAGCTCATCTACAATCAAAGAGCATTCTGAACCCCACTAACAATCAAATTGGCCCAGAACTCCCACGACCCACAGAAAATACTGGAAGGGTTTGGTGGGCATTGACCTTGAGTTTTGGAGTTGTAGTTCACAGACAGCACTGTGGACTCAAACAATGATGGATCTGGACCAAACTTGGCACAAATACTCAATATGCCCAAATGGGAACACTGATGGAATTTGGGGAAAATAGATCTTGACATTTGGGAGTTGTAGTTGCTGGGATTTATAGTTCACCTACAATTAAAGAGCATTCTGAACCCCACCATTGATAGAATTGGGCCAAATTTCCCAAAAAGAACCCCCAAGGCCAACAGAAAAGATTGTGTTTTCTGATGGTCTTTGGTGACCCCTCTGATACCCCATTGTGACCCATCCAGGGGGTCTCCACCCTCAGGTTGAGAAACACTGCTATAATGGATCATATATACTTAAGGTGCAATCAGTTATTACTCTTGGGCTTTTTAGGAAGAGTGTGAATTTGGTCTTTCAAATTATGGTCTCCTTTACCAAGGATTTCCTAGGCTTCCTTCTCAGAACAGTCTTATGGGAGATCCAACCCAACAACAAATCCCATATAGGACCTTGAAGCTGCCATCCATTTATATTACTTTTAAGAAGAATTTGGCCTTTGAAATTGTGGTTGACCAAAGGATCACCGGTTGGTGCTTCTTTCTCATTTCTGGATCAGGTGGTCCCAGCCAACAAGGGATCTTATCTAGTAACACTGGCATCTTAATCATTCGTTTGCTGCTTTTGTGGAAGTGTTGTTTGATTTTGGCTTTCCAATTTGTTTAAATTCCTGGCATTGTTTTATTGCTTTAGATTAATGATGTTTGTTTGCCAACACGAACAGTCTTTTTTTAATTAGAAAAAGGGGGAGACAACAGTAATAAATGAGCCAACGGGATTTACAGAATACCACCCTTCAGAACGTGCGACGTGACGATGTTGCAGATGGATAGCGAAATCTGTTAAGACTTAAAGTAAGCCAAAGCAAGGGAAAAGAATGCTGGAAAAATAATTGAAAAGGAAAGGCGAGACAGCTGGAAATATTTGTTTCGCAGCCTCCAACTCCAATTATAGTTTTAAGTCCTATCTGTGATTAAGCAGCACTCACAGTGGGAGGATATTATGGATTTATCTTCCATCGAAATGAATGCTAAGTAAATGCAAATTCATTGCAAGATATATATGCGACGTGTACAAAATGTACACAGGAAAGTTATGGAGCTTGGGAAAATATTTTTGGTGTCAACGACCATCGCAACATCTCCAGAACTTTTTAATTAGAGATTCTCTTGGTGGCAATATGGACTTTGTCAACGTTGGTCCTGGAGGTTGTTACCCTAGGAAGGTCTAACCAAGAGCTGGGTTTTTCCCATAAGGCCTAATTGTCCCTCGTTTATACAAGGGATGTGAAGAACCCCTTGTCCTGACCCTTCCCGCTCTTGCAATCCCTCCAGGAAGTCAGAAGGAAATGGAATGCAAACATATCAGATAACAAGATCAACAGCAAAGTTCACCCAATGCTTCCCAGTTGGAAACCAAACCAAAACATAAGGGCCAGTTGGGATGTTGGGCTGAAGGTTGGGTTGACATCCTTTCCAAAGCCTCATACAATTAAGAAATGTCTGTTCCTTGTTGATTTACTCCTTCCTCTCTTTTCCCCTCCTTATGACTCCATCACATTTCAGGCTCTAAACTCCTGAAGTTGAGAAGAAATCTTTGGCCTATGTGTTGTCGAAGGCTTTCATGGCCAGAATCACTGGGTTGCTGTGAGTTTTCTGGACTGAATGGAGCCCCCGGTGGCGCTGTGGGTTAAAGCACTGAGCTGCTGAGCTTGTTGATCGAAAGGTCACAGGTTCAATTCCGGGGAGCGGATGAGCTCCCGTTGTTAGCCCCAGCTTCTGCCAACCTAGCAGTTCTAAAACATGCAAATGTGCGTAGATCAATAGGTCTGACCGGAAGGTAACAGCGCTCCATTCAGTCATGTTAGCCACATGACCTTGGAGGTGTCTACGGACAACGCTGGATTTTCAGCTTAGAAATGGAAATGAGTACCACTCCCCAGAATCGGACACAACTAGACTCAACGTCAAGGGAAAACTTTACCTTTTTCTGTATGGCCATGTTCTAGAAGCATTCTCTCCTGACATTTCACCTGCATATATGGCAGGCATCCTCAGAGGTTGTGAGGTCTGTTGGAAATGAGGATGCCTGCCATAGAAGCAGGTGAAACGTCAGGAGAGAATGCTTCTGAAACATGACCACACAGCCGAGAAAACTCACAACAACCCTATCTTTGGCCTCTCTTTTTGACTCTTGTTCTTCAAATGCTCTTTAGCAAAGTAGTCATGGATGTGAGATGATAGGATGGATCACCACCATGGTTCTTGTCTTCTCCTTTGTGCTCTCTCTAGATTTCAAGGAAGTCTTTGAGCTCTTCGACAGGACTCCCAAGGGGGAGCTGAAGATCACATTCGCCCAGTGCGGAGACGTCTTGAGGGCTTGTGGCCAGAATCCCACCCAAGCAGAAGTTCTCAAGGTCCTTGGGCGGCCCAAGCCAGATGGTTAGAGTCTTCCCTATGCTGTTCCTGTGATGGCCGCTTCACAATGTAGTTGTTTCTTTTGTAAAATCAGAACTTTCCTAGCCAGTTTGGAGTTAATGATCTGTGAACCTTCCCTTGAAATGCACTGGTGTTGTAATTGTTATAGTTGGGTGCCTTCAAGCTGTTTCTGACCAATGGCAACCCTAAGGAGAACCTATCATGGGCTTTTCTCAGCAAATGTTTTTCAAAGGAGGGTTGTTTGGTCTTCCCTTGATGTTGGGAGAGTGTGACTTGCCCAAGTGGGTTTCTATGGCTTAGTGGGGCCTCCAACCAGGGACAGGAGAAGTGAAACGTCATAGCCTCCAACACTTCACTGGGACACATGTGGTCAACCAACATCAGAAGATGGTCAATATGACAAAATAGAGAAAGGAGACATGAGTTTGCTTTGGCCTGAGCCTACTAGGAAGGGCAACATTCTGCAACTCTTACCTGGAGTTGCATCTCCAAAATTTAAGAATTTGCAATCCTGTCTCCTTCTTGGAGGTGGCTCATAAGAGTCGGGCACTTTGGCCAGACCCAGACCTGGATCCTTAATCTCCTTTCTTATTTCAAATTGGATTACATGAGACAAGAAACCTAAAGTTTTCTTCTTACTTTACCAAAACACCACCTCCTTCTAAAATGGAGGGCAGAAGGTTTCAGGAAAGGAGAGGCAAAGAGAGGTCCGGAGGTCTTAAAAGCACAGATTTTATTTATCCAGCTGGGGCCCTGGAGTGGACTTGCGTCCCAAAAGCAAACCAGAGCAAATGATAGAGGGAAGACTGTGGCTTTTATAGATTCCACGTTCAAGCAAACAAAGAACATGCTACTACATACATTTACATCATTCACTGCATCATCTTAGCATCAAATTCTACCCTCTAACATGCAAGCAAAGCATGTCTGTGTCTCTAAAGAGCAAACATGGCTTACACTCATCAATCAAGGGGCCCACTTGGACCTGTCAAGAAGCTCCTTCCTTAGAGCCTAGATGTACCAGCCTGTGGCTCCTAGTACGAGCTTCTCTCTCTCTCCTGGAATGTCCCCCTTCCCTCTTGGCTGTGCCTGGGACAAAGCTTGCTTGTCCATTCTTTCTATACACAGAGAGAGCCTGATTTTTATATACATTTAAAGTACATACAATTTATGCATAGATCAATAAATATCTATTTTTCCAATATCTCCTCATCACTTCAACTATGAGCTCATGTCACACTAGCCCTGTGAATCCAAAATATAAGTACCAAATATTTCTCCAATTTGGATATCTGTTACTACTAGATCCTAAACCCCAAATTAGATCTATTGATGTGTTGGGTTCTGACCTTCCTTTTTGATTTAGCTTCAAACCAGCTGCTCCATGAAGAGCATCGAGAAGGCAGGAGAAGATCCCAGAGAACTTTAGTAGAGTTGCTGAGCCTCATGGAGAAAGAAGCTCACCATCATTGTCTGCTTATCCATTGACAGAGATGAACTCTAAGATGATAGACTTCGACACCTTCCTGCCCATGCTCCAGCACATCGCCAAGACCAAGGACACCGGGACCTTTGAGGACTTTGTGGAAGGCCTGCGGGTGTTTGACAAGGAAGGGAATGGTACCGTCATGGGGGCCGAACTCCGCCACGTCTTGGCAACGCTTGGTAAGCAAATCCCAAACAATGGTGGTGGTGGCATAAGATACATTTAAATGTTCATTCTTTTGCTTTCTCTACTCTGTTTCAATATGCACAAGACCGAGGAGTCCCAAAATATTGTAAGTAATGAATCTTTTTCTGCCTATTTGTTTTGCTTCTCCTCCATAATCTGATCTCTATCCAAGGTAAGGGCCAAAGATTTAATCTTCTTGGTTGAGGGAAGGAAGGATGAACTAAGAGAGCTTTTCTCAACCTAGGGAGTGGGACCCCTGAGGGGGTCATGAGGGAGTTCTAGAGGTGCCACCAAAGACCATCATAAAACATATATTTCTGATGGTCTTAGGAACTATCTTTGGCAGAGAAGGCGGAAGATCTCTCCGCCAGTTCCTTTTCCTCTCACCAAAAGCCCTCCTCCACTGTGATTGGCAAACCTTTCAGCCAAGGAGAGGGCTGTTTCTGAGATTCCAAGCAGGGAGGGGAGAGCAGGTGTGCTCGGCACATGGCTTGGCACGTGGTGCGCATATGCGGGCAAGGGAGAGCATGTGAGGCTGGAGGGAGGCTTGTGCCAGCAAATCCATTCAAGGCATGTAGGAATTCTGAACTAATTCTATCGTTGATAGGGTTCTGTATGCTCTTTGATTGTAGGTAAACTATAAATCCCAGCAAATACAATTCTCAAATGCCAAGAGCTATTTTCCACAAACTCCACCCGTGTTCACGTTTGGACATATTGAGTATTTGTGCCAAGTTTGGTCCAGATCTATCATTTTTGAGTCCACAGTGCTCCCTGGATGTAGGTGAACTACAACTCCAGAACTCATGGTCAATGCCCCCAAACCTTTCCAGTATTTCCTGTTGGCCATAGGAGTTCTATGTACCAAGTTTGGTTCAATTCCATTATTGGTAATGTTCAGAATGCTCTTTGATTGTAGCTGAACTATAAATCCCAGCAACTACAACTCCCAAATGACAAAATCAATACCCTCACAACCCCACCAGTATTCAAATTTGGGCACATTGGTGCCAAATTTGGTCCAGCGAATGAAAATACACCAGGCACATCAGATATTTACATGACGATTCATAACAGTAGCACAATTACAGTTATGAAGTAGCAATAAAAATAACTTTATGGTTGGGGGTCACCACACCATGAGGAACTGTATTAAGGGGTCACAGCATTAGGAAGGTTGTGAAACACTGAACTAAGAGTAGACACAAGTACAGCTCTTGGTTGGAACCAAATTGATTTTATGAGTTATGCTTAGATCATACCTCCTTGAATTCAAGGTGAATTGTGCTAGTCACAACTAACCTAATGCCAGGATAGAGCCAAAAATATCAATGGGAATCAATGGGTTGTTGTAGGTTTTTTTGGGCTATATGGCCATGTTCTAGTGGCATTCTTTCCTGATGTTTCTCCTGCATCTATGGCAAGCATCCTCAGAGGTAGTGAGGTGAATGGGATTCAAGTTAGCCCTGACTAATGTGAAGATATTTATTTATCGTGTCATCAGCAACCATTGTATTACAATGTGTCCCTGTTGGTGCTCCTGGACCTCTCAGCGGCCTTCGATAC